AAATTCAAACAATTAAAAAATGACTTAACAACTAAACACAAAACAGTATCCTGGAATAGATCCTGGAATAGAAAAAGGATCTCAGTGGGAAAACTGGTGAAATCAAATAAAACTGCAGTTTAGCTAGTACTAACGTACAACTATTACAGCTATTTTTGACAAATGTACCATAGTTACATTTATATGGGTGAAGGGTGTAGAAGAATGCTATACTATCTCTGCAACTTTTCTGTGAATCTACAATTATTCCAAAATAAAAAGCTTATTTAAAAAGAAATGTTTTAGCAAGAACTACCAAAAGTCAAGTCTGTACCTCAATTCTAACTCAATCCCCACAACACCTAAATAGGTGATGGGGCAGGTTCACAGAAGGGACTCTTTAAATGCTACCTATATCTCCAATATTACTAAACAAAATTAACCCCAGAAAAGCCTGTGGAGGGCAGGGGGGAGTGGGGAAGATGCTTACTTTAGGCAGGGATGAAAATGAAAAGCCATGAAACCATTTTTCAGTGGAAAGGAAGAACAATCCTATTTAAGCACAACAGATATGGGCAAGGAACAGCCAAGGAGAGAGGGATATTACAGAGGTCCTAAAACAGTAAAGCTTAACAATAAATACATAACATTCCTTATGCACTCACCTCTGGGCCAAGTGCTATTTTAAGTGCTCTGTATCTTTAACACATTTAACCCTCCCAAGAACCCTGTAAGGTAGGCAGTACTTATATCTACATTTTACAGATGAGAAGTTCTGTGATGGGAGAGAGATTGGAGGGCAACCACTCACTAGACTATACAGCCTACAGAGGAGCCTAGCCTGGGAAAAGCTCCTGCCTTCTAGAGACCAGGTCCCACTACTCACCCTGTCCTTAGCCTCCACCAGAGAAGAAAGCCCTCTGCCCAAGGCTTGGGAGTCTTTGCTAGGATCGTGGAGGAATGTGACTCCACCACCCCTATATTCAAGATTGTGTTCATAATCTTTCAGTACTTGATGCACTCAGTGCATATTCTTGTTGAGACACTATTATACATAGAAGTCAGTTTTTACAGTACTATCAGTCTTCAAATTCAGATATGTTGGGCTGGCCTGGGTATCTGAAGGCCTTATGTGACATTATTTCTGTGGGAAAATGCTGCTGATTTCCAAAAAGAAAGCCTTACAAATGGACCATTTAGAAACTGTAGCTCCCTCTACACAAAAACTCTGGCCTTGTAGATGTCATAATAAAAGGCACCGTGGTTATTCAAATAATCCAGTTTTGCTCATACATCAAAGTGGCACAGTTCCTTATACCTAACATAATAATGGTGTCACAAAAAAAATTAGCTCAGTATTTTATGGATTTCCTGCACTAGGGCCATTTTTGGATGTGCCCAGCAATGAATATATTGCTCTCCCTGGCCTCCCATAAGGTTTGCATTAAAAAATTACTACTGAATTTATATATAAGACAGCTAAAGTAGTAATAGTAGTAGTAATGATAATGACAATGTAGTAGGAACAAGAACTCTTTTTGAGCATTTACCACTGTTAGGCATGTTCTAAATACTATATGTCTGCTAGCTCATTTAATCCTCACAAAAATCCAATGAAGTTGGCTATTACACTATCCCAATTTCAAAAATGAGGAAACAGGTCACAGATTAAGCAACATGCCCAAGATCACAGAGCTAGTTAGTGTCAGAAGTAAGATTTGAACATTTGAGCATTTTAGCCCTAGAGATATTTTTAACCACTGCATTCTGTGTATAATTACATAATTGGGTAAATTCTTAAAATAAAGAGTGCTTACTCAAATGCATTTTTAAAACACAATGGGTTTAGAGACAAAAAAAGAAGACCAACTTTGCCTTTTATTAGGAATATGTTCTTCAACCAAGCTAAGACTGAACACAGTTATGGAGAACAAATTTAAAATGTAGTTTACTTTGCTTTAACCTCTTTGAAATCCCTCACTTAATTGTTTGAACATTACAAGCAGTGGTGACAGCGTGTAACTTCAACAACAGACTAATAAAACTTTATTTTTAAATCTTCAGGTAAAACAAATATCCTGGCCATGTTTACCATTAAGTGAACTAGGGTAAAGTAACTGCAAGGGTTCCAATACCCTTGAAAAGTTTTAAAACAGAAGCAAGAAATAGGGAGAACAAGATACTCCTTTTATGACAAAGCAGAACTCTGTTCTTCCCACAACACTGTAACATCTGCTGTAAGAAGAAACATTAACCTGAGATGGACTGAACTTCAACTGTATTTCAAAACATGTACTTTTATATTCAGGAATGCTTCACTGGCAGTTTAAAAATGCTATCAGTTTATCTCCAAGAAGAGCCATCTGATCGACATAACACATCTAATTTTGGATAGCTAAAGGTGTGCTCCCTACCATCCCACTAATTAACAAAAACTTCACAACCTCCAACAACTTCTGGAGAACAATCTGATTTTTAAATCATCCATTTGAATCTCAGAACTTGCCTTCCCTGGAAATGAAGTTCTATGTGCCAGTTTCCAAACCAGCTCACAAAAGCTTAAACACCCACAAATAAGGTTATAGAAGTATAATCAAATACTGAACCTATATGGGCAATGTTTCTGTGGGGAAACCCATTCAGCTTTCAACTTAGAATAAAAACAACTAACCGCACCCCACTCAGCCCTGGAAGAAGACAAAAATTCTTCCCTCCCCTAACTGGGAGTCTGAGCTCCCCTAGGACCACGGGCACAGGCTTCCATGACCAAGGCAGAGCAGGAGGACAGGCAGGAAGCAGGGCAGCCGGCAGTGTATTAGGATTCAGAGGTAGGAGGATAAACGGCAGAGCAGGGGTGGGATGAAGGCAGCAAGACCTACCTGGGAAAGGATGAAGGGTGGGATGGCAGCTAAAAGGAGGAAAAACTGTGGGGGTTGGGGTGGGCTGCCAAAGAGGGCGAGGAAACAAGACCTGCTCCAGCAGCAGATGGGCTGTTACAAACCTTCCTCAATACTTGGAAGAGGGAAGGAAAAAGAGAAACCTTGGCAAGGGTCTTGACACTGCCTCCTTCTATGCAGCTACTCTCATTCTCCTTTTCAAGAAAGGAATGGATCAAGGGGTCTTGTCCAGTTTTTGATCTCCCAGAGCACCGGGATTCGGAGAAGGGTAGCAGACTTAGAGGAGTTGCACTGCTCTGCTTGTCAGCATCCACTTGCCAGAAGACATCAGTGTGGCGAGACAAATGATTATTTGTGACCATGGTAATAAATTGAGGTTTATTATGTAGAAGGTATGAAAATCAACTTCTACATACTTAGGGGGCAATTTCCTGGTATCTTGTCTTTATATAGTGGCCATACAAATCATTTCAGAAAGGTTCTTTTATTTACCTGGTGAGAACTCACTCACTTACATTATCACCTGTCAAGTTTTTCACCCCAATAGCCCAAATGCCATGAGCAGTTATTTCACAAATAAGGAAGTATATTTAACTGTTTCTTGGAAGTACAACTACAATGAGAAACTTGCTCATTTTGACCAAACATTTCCCCTCAGGACTCCAAAGTATTCTTTCAAGGAAAGCTCCAAACTCCACATAACATAACCACACTCAGGTGAGTCTCAAGGAACATTCGGCTTTTTTCCTCTGGCCTCTAATGCCCATGTATCCATGAGCCATGGGTACTTACCTAAAAACCCCCTAACAATTTACTTCTTAAAAGATGAAACAGCAAACCCAAAATTCTGTACCTTTTCCAGAACTTCCAGGCAGAGATAATTTAACAGGTAAACCTAACCAAATGACCCACTGGAGGATGAATACCAGACAGCCTTAGCATCTTTTTTTTTAAAAAAATTTCATTCACTACTGTTACAGTTGAACTCGCTCTTGAGCAGAGGTAATGGCCAAGATGTCAAGCTCAGCAGTACATCAAAGATGCAAGAGCAGAAATCAGTCGGGGACAAAAGTGACCAAGGGCCATGCACTGTCAAGATGTTCCTGGTGGTTCACCAACATCTCAGATACTGCCTGGGAACCTGGAAGGTCTTTCACTCCCTAGCCCCATAGAACATTATGTTGGATCCCAGAATAGCTGCTATATTTTCTGCAAACTATCAATTGGGTCCAAAACCTCTGCACTAAATTTAAGAGAAGAAAACAGTGTCTGTTATCAGGTGCTCCACTTGTTGGAGAAGGTAGGTGGGTGGGTATGTGTATATGTGTCCAAGCTATGATAAAGCAAATTAAGAACCCTATAAATAGTTAGTATTTTATTTTAATAATGCAGTTTGAAAAAGTTTTCAGGACCAGAATAGACAAAATATTTTATCTTTGAAGTATCTTGGGCATGCTGAAACTGGAAGGCAAAGTTACTGAAACCATGTGAATTTCACATAGGTCACTACCAGATACTAGGAATCCTTATAATCAGCCCACTTCTGCTAAAATGTTACCTCTGACTAGAAAATGTACACATCTGAAAAGAAGAAAAAGCTTGAGATTATCTTTAGCCAAGGACACTGAAAGCTTTCAAGATTATCAACAGAACTGAAAGGTTTCTTTGTAACAAAATTTTGTTTTCATAAAATTTTTATCAGTCAGCACATACATTACATTTACTCAGAGCACAGAAAAACACATATTCTAGAGTAAGACACTTAAGTTTGAGTTCTAGCTCTGCAATTTACCAGCTATCTGACCTTCTTAGGAAACTTACTGATGAATACTGAAGGTTAGAGTCATTATCTGTACAAGAGCGTAACAATATCTTTAGCACAGGGTAGCTATGAGGACTAAATGCAATTGCACAAAACCCACCTAGCCCAGTGCTTGAATATACCCGATGTTAGCTCCCTTATCTCCCCAACACAAACTGTAAAGAGTGTGGTATCTATAATTTCCAGAAGACTGTGTCAAATAAATACATAGAAGAAAATTCAGAGTGACAGAACACAGACTATGTCCCATCAAATGGTAAGATGAAAATCACACATTTAGTATTTACCGTCACTAGTCTTACCTTGAATTAAGCCAGTTGTAAGGAAATGGGGGTGGCCGTGCTGGCTAAGATTGAAAAACTTCGTATCACATACTAATTTAAAATTATGTAGGTGTATATGCTTGCAATCTTCCAGTGTTCATAAAAAGACACCATCACAAAATTTATCATGGGTGATGATGCGCTTTGTAATATAATACTGAAAAAACGAAATCCCCGTCTCAGGAGCCCATTCTTGATCGAAATGTTTCTTCTTATAAATGTTCCTATATACTACTGCAAAACATTTGCAAAGAAATAAAGTAAATCCTCTTACCCTTCCAAAATGAAAAAGTGTGCACAAGAAGCTGTTTGTCAAATTGTTCTTTTCCACTCATTCTTGTTCTTTTACAAACCAGAAGTATATACACCACATGCCAAAATTACTGTGATGTACAAACATCACTTAAGAACACATGGAATTGACAGGCTGTCTGGACCAAAGGTGACGAGTTTTCTTAAGCAACTGCAATTACGTTTAGTAAAAACATATGCTTTTCATCAACAGCATGAACTTTTGACTTTACATGCAGCTTACTTTGTAACACACCTTGTCTCCCCATCCCTCCCCCCAAATCCTGCTTTTACGCACTTTAATGAGCTGGCAGACAGTACTAAACTATAGAACTCCAAGTGGAAATGACTCTAAACTGCTGGACCTCTGAGGACTGCTTGCTTGTGTGATCTTCTTTAAAAGAACACAGGCAATATTTTCTCCTTGCTCCACACCTGCCAACAATCATCTGTAAATCTCTTTTAGAACAATTATTACCATTACTACTAACCTTCCCCTTCTCTATCAACACCCTCAAAAGCCCCAACCTGGATGCTGCTAAGTCCTCATCGCCAAACGCCTTGCTGAGGCGTGAAGTCCGTCCACGTTGGTTCTCTCTTCGCAACGTCCAGGTTCTGGCGAGTAAGGACATCCCCTCCATCGGGGGGCGAAGGCTAACCGAGGCCCCCGGCCACTCCCACTCTCCTCGGCCTCCCGGGGCGTCTGGGGCGGGCACGCCCGGCCCTGCGCAGACCTCCCGCAGCCCCGCAGTTCCCAGTGTCCGTAGCAGCCCCGAGCCAAGCCGAGCCCCGGGACGCCCACATTCGCGCGCACGCCAATCACCCGGGCGCCGGGTCACCGGGACGACCCCGGGGCCGCCCCCGACACCCCAGCCAGGGCAGGTGCCGGGCCTCCTCGCGGACACTCACCCGACACCCACTGCTCCGCGTCCGCCGCTGCCGCAGCTGCCGCCGCCGCCACCGGCTAGCCCTCCCGCCCGCAGCCTGCTCCTGCGGGGGGTCCGGGCCGGCGCCGCTACCCCGCCCGACCCCCCTCGGGTGCGCACCGCGCAGAGCCCGGATCCGGAGAGGAGACACCGCCGCCGCCGCCGCCGCCGCCACCGCCCCCTTTCCTTTCCTCCCTCCTCCCTCAGTGCGTCCCTCCCACCGAGGCCCGCCTAGTATTTCCTGGATCCGGTCTCGGGGAGAGCTTGGCAAGCGAAACGCCGGCCTCAGGGTTCCCGTCGGGCGCCGTCGCTCGCCAGGTACAAAGATGGCGTCGCCGGGGACGGCCAAAGGCGATCTCGCGACGCTTCTCCCACAGCCACCGGAGGGCGGGGCCCACAATTAGGGCCGCCTGAGCGGGCTTCAAAGCAAACACTCCCCCATATCGGAAATGGGCAGTACCTATTACGGCGGAAATTTTTGCGCCTGTGCGCAGGCGGGCAGTGACGCATGCCCAGAAGGGTCCCTGAAATAAGACCCAACTCTCCGTGTTATACCTGTTTCCTCTAGAGGCGCAGTGCAGAGAGGGAGGGGCGGAGGAACCCGGAGTGAAAGCCAGGGTAGGGCTGGGCAGGATTTGGTGGCGAAGTGAAAGGTGCCCTTTAAGGCTCGGTCATCCCTCAAGAGCCCGAGCGGCCAACACACTTTGTCGTTCCCGGGAGTCCTCTAACCCTTATCTTCTTCCTACCCTCCCCGTCACCGAGTATTCTTTGCAAAATCTCAGCTGCCCCTTCATCCTGTTGTCGGTTTGCACTATTTATTGAAAGCTTGCTGTGGGCTTGTATCTGGCTCACAGCTGGCAGCCACAGCCCTCCTGTTTCTCACTTCACCATCTATCAAACTTTCTGTTTCATTTTGGTGCTACATGAGCTTTCAAATCACATACTGTTAATTGCTTCTGTTCTTGTTTTATTTTTCCTCGCTCATTCATTTTCATTCAGTCAAACGTGGGTTCAGTTTTCTTTGCGCCAGGTACTGAGGAAACACAGATGTGCTGTGACCTCAAGGAGCTATTGGCCTGGGGTGGAGATGAATGAGAAAAAAAAGGTGACAGTTCACAGTAAATGGTATGATAAAAATGGGTACACAGAGGAGTGACATACTGGGAGATGGGTCTCATGACATATGTCAAAAAGAAAAATTTGTTTGAGGGGAGTCTCACAGGCATATGATTTAGTCCAGTGAATCCAACAAGGTGCTGTCAGGAAAACAGACCACCCTGATTGTTTTAACAGAGAATTTAATATAAAGAACTGATAATCAGATAACTGAAGAAGCAAGAAGAGAACTCAGTGTATCACAGAGATAGCAACTGTAGGAAGCAGCTATTATGCCTAGAGCTAGATGGACCAACGGAAGAAATTCGGATTATTACAATTTAGACGTCTAAGTGAAGGGGTCTTGTGGAACTGAAACTCAGACCTCTGAGGAGGGAGCAGCAGCTGCTGGCACTGGTGTCTCTCAGCAGGACTCAAAATGCTGAGTCTGCCAAGTGTGAGGAAAACTGCACACTGGATCCAACCGGTTAGATCCAGTTTGGAAGGTAGTGTCACTGTCCTTCTGCAAGCTTCCAATCTCCCTCTAGCCTGGGGATGAGAATGCGACATGTAGAGTCAAACTGGACCCACATTCCAAAAACAGAGCAGCTCCAGTGTTGAGGGCCACTCGTTTTGGAAGGTGGATGTGGTCAGAAAGGCAGCCATTCACCTCTGGTACTAGTAGTAGGGACCATTGTCTTATAACACTCATGGCAACCCTGCTTCAAGTTCAGGGTTTCATACCAAACAGAGCTGCCCCAGCCAACTCATAAACCCATGAGTGAGAGATAAATATGCTTGTAGTATAGCACTGAAGACTTCAGCTTATTACATGACAACAGTGAGGAGGACTTAGTTTTCTTCTGTCTTCTTGCTCCACCATCCCTAAAGTGCTGTTCTGGTATATTTACTCTAGAATGGCTCAACACCACATCACATTCCAGTCATCAGACAGGGGAAGGCCCATCCATTTCCTTTAAGGACATGACCCAGAAGTTGTTAACATCACTTACGTTTACAACCTATCAGCCAAAACTTTATCACATTACCATATTTACCTGCACTGAAGACTGGGAAATACGGTCTTATTCTAAGCAATCTTGTACCTAGCTAAAAATTCTATAACTTTAGAAAAAAGGTTATAGGGAAAATCAGCAACCCCATGAAATAATAAAAACTTAGAACTTCATTTAAAGTGGTATCTTGTCCTCTTTCCCATTTGGGTCCTGCCAGTGCTGAGAAGCTTGAAGTTAAAGAAGCAAGTATAATCTCTTTCTGTTCCTTGGCCTTCTACTTCTCCTCCCCCATTTTGCTAACCACAGTTTCTTCTCCTCCAAGGATGAAGAGGGTGGGAATGGAGATGAGCAAATTATTGCTTTACAGGCAGAGCCATAAGATGACTTTGTCCTTTCTGGACATGGCAGATGCCTAAAATTGGCACTTCCTCTCTTGGTTTCTTTTGGGGGCTCTTCTTAGGCTCCCATTGGCAAGATTTGGTGACACATCCCAGGACACAAATGATGCTCCTGCTCTGTCTGGCCTCTCTCTCCTCAGCTCCTGGTCTCTCACTTTTTGATGTTGCTCTTAAGTCCTCCCTTGGTTGTCCATGCCTTCTATGTGACTGGCATCCAAATGTGGGCTCTCTCGTAGGGTGAGCATGATTCTTCAGCACCAACTTCATGGCCATGAAGTTCTTTGATATGGATTCAACTTCTTCAACCTTCTCAGCCCCTGCCTCTTGTGGAACACCTGCAACTTCTTATTGCCAGGATCCACTTACCCATTGGCGGAGCCTTTGGCAGGGCACAAGCAAGAGGCTCAAGCTTTTTTGTTTTCTGTGACATTCACCTGATCCATGGGAAACTCAAGAATCCTAGTCATGCTGACCAACAGACGTGCTGCCCTGTCATTGCTGCTCCAGCAAGCTTCCAGTCTTCAGAATTCTGGCAAGTGGCAGGCCGCAGGGTCTGTGCTGACTCTGGCCTGCAAACTCCAAGGATATATTTAGATCAGCTTTCCCTAAAATTGTCTGGGTTGGGCCTCCAGATAGCTGCAGTTCAGTAGCCAAGCAACTGTAGGGCGATACATCTTGAAGACATTTCTAACTCAGCTCTTGGAGGCCCCCTCACTTGGCTTTGCCTTCCCCATCAGGAGAGAAAAGCTACAACACTCCCTCAAAGATGATTACTAATAAAAATCTCCCTTTTAGTCTTTTTTTATTTAGGCTAGAGGAAGTATTTGGGTGATAGTCACACAACCAGTTTTGCCACCTGTTAGTGAGCCTTCAGGGAAGGGCCTCAGAGCTCACTTTAGAATGTGGTAAACTCAGCATGTATTTCTTTAGCTGTATCAGATTATCAGATACATCTTATATACTATTTCAGATATTTTTGGCCTCACGTCTTGTATCTATCACCACATAACAAACCATTCAAAAACATAAGAGTCTAAAATAATAACCATTTTATTTGCTTATTATGCAGTAGGTCAGCAATTTAGGTTGAGCTCAGTTAGGCACCCCTTCCTCTGGTCTCACCCAGGGTAGCTCATGGTGACAAGATAGTGGCTATTCATGGGACTAGCAAGGGCTTCCTCTCACCAAGTCACCACACATCCATAAGGTATGGTCTAAAAACTAAGAAGTTAGCTGAGCCTTTAATGGGCCATTTCATTAGTCTGACTCCTGAACAATGAGGTATATGATGAAACCAGTGGTTCTCATGGTCATGTGCAACTCCTTTGCAGTAACATAGGTCCCTTGGTTTTAGGCAATACTGTATGGGATACCATGTCAATAGATGACATTTTTTTAAACTCTTGAATGGTAGTACTGCTGGGAGAACTGTAGATAGGAAAGGTGAACTCATAATGAGAGAATGAATCAGTTCTGGAAAGAATGAATTGCTGTCCCCACAGTCACACACACACACACACACACACACACACACACACACACACACACACCATGTGAAAGGGATCCAAATTAATCTGTCTGCCCAAGTGGCTCACTGGTCTCCTTGAGAAATGGTGCCATACTGTGGCTCACTGTTGGTTTTTGCAGGTGTTGGGTTGGGTCAGCAGTAGCTAATTGAGCCTTAGAGAGAGGGAATCCTTGTTGGACCTGAAGAGTGAGCCTGCGTTCCATTGACAGGACCTTGCACTCCCTTCTTATAGAGGAAGCATGCAAGGAACCTTGTTGAACCTTGTAGGTAATAGACTACTTGGGCTGCTTCATACCAGGCAATGTGGATTTGGGGTGTCAGCTGTTCATAGGCAGTGTCTGGGACCTTGAGGCTAACAAGATGTTACAGTCCTGTGAGAGGAGGAGGTCCCATGGAAAGGTGAGTTTGGGTGCAGCCCGTCCCTCTTGGAGAAGGGCAGATTTCTGGTTCCAGTTAGCTTTTTGCCTGTGACCCAGCATCATGAGTTCTTGGGATCACTTTCAGACAAATGTGCTCTCTGTAGCAAATATTCTACTTAAATCATATTAATTTTCACTTCTGTTGTAAATCCTTTCTTTGATTTTTACTTTGTGATTTGGTGATTCTTAATGGGAAAGGGGATCCTCATAACTTGAAGTTTTCCCTATATTCCACTCCCTAATTTGCTTCCCACCTAAACTTCACTTAGCAATTGCGCCTGTACTGGCCAGGACCCTAAATAATGAATATGTCAGAACACCTTCTGAGCTTGCTAGAACTAAGGGCAGCCTCCTCTAATTTTCCCTATCAGAACAACAAGGAACAACCGAATTGAGTTCTCTTATCCAAGACACTTAAAAAGGAAAAATAAAATTACCATTCAGAGGACAAAAAAGAAAGAGACACTAGTTGCCCATCACCCGTACCCTTTCATCCC